TCAGACTTGCAACACTCTACTGGTGCAGTATTGGTCTTTTCAGGATCAAAAACTGCCAGGGTCAGATTTTGTTCCCTCTTTATGCAGATATTTTAAATTAACAAAGATAAAAGTAAACTCTGTCCACTCTCCAGGAATTGTGATAAAGCTGTATTTTTACGTTCTTTTCACTAGCAGATCAAAATAATGTGAGGTTAGCTTCCAATCATTCATCAGGTACTACTTGTAGTTGGTTGGTGCAACAGCTAAGTGTTCTAGGGAAAGCTGGCATGTGCACACATGAGAAGTTTGATTCATTGACTGAATTGAATGGTAAGAATTGTCTAAATCCTGATATGCCAGATGCTCTTAATATAGCATGCTTTTGTTGGGCTTTGGTGTAAAGAAATCTGAGCACTGTTGCAGTGTATTTGCTAATGGTGAAGGCCAATATAGCTACAATTCAGAACATCTTGCAAAAAAAAACAAAAAACCCATCCCTTTTAATTAGATATAAAAGTTGTGATGTCTCACCACCTCCTATCATGAAAAAAATTAGTTTGAAAGCTATAGATATTAGCTGAAGCTGTATACAGAAATGGTGCTTTTCGTACACAGCATGTTCAAGAGCTAGTGAGTGATCTTCATAATTTGACTAATGTAACTCAGAACATTCTTTGAATCTGTTAGGATTCCCCATATATTCCAGTTGGTGTTCTAAAGATTGGAGAAATACTTCTTAATAATTTATACAAAATGCAGTTTTTATGTATTCTTTCATTTTAACCCTGAATTACATTTTTCTTCAAACACTGAGTAACCATAACCAGTGTTTGGGAGATATATACAGGCAGTCCCCGAGTTACGCGGATCCGACTTATGTCGGATCTGCAGTTACGAACGGGGCCCATCTCCCTGGTCTCCAGCAGACCAGGGAGAGGAAGCAAAGCGGCGGAGCACGCGGGCAGCGGACAGCCCAGACGCGTCTGGGCTGTCCGCTGCCCATGTACTCCGCGGCTTTGCTCTGCTTTGCTCCCCGTCTCCCTGGTCTGCAGAGAGCTGCTCTGCCCCAGGCGTCCTGATTCAGCCACTGCTGGTCAGTTTCAGCAGCGGCTGACTTGGGGACGCCTGGGGCAGAGCAGCTCTCTGCAGACCAGGGAGACGGGGAGCAAAGCAGAGCAAAGCTGCGGAGTACATGGGCAGCGGACAGCCCAGACGCGTCTGGGCTGTCCGCTGCCCATGTACTCCGCGGCTTTGCTCTGCTTTGCTCCCCGTCTCCCTGGTCTGCAGAGAGCTGCTCTGCCCCAGGCGTCCTGATTCAGCCACTGCTGGTCAGTTTCAGCAGCGGCTGACTTGGGGACGCCTGGGGCAGAGCAGCTCTCTGCAGACCAGGGAGACGGGGAGCAAAGCAGAGCAAAGCTGCGGAGTACATGGGCAGCGGACAGCCCAGACGCGTCTGGGCTGTCCGCTGCCCGCGTGCTCCGCCGCTTTGCTTCCTCTCCCTGGTCTGCTGGAGACCAGGGAGATGGGCCCCGTTCGTAACTGCAGATCCGACATAAGTCGGATCCGCGTAACTCGGGGACTGCCTGTATAAGTAGTTGACCAAGTCCTAATGTCACCTGCTACCCGGTAAGAAATTCTTAGATCAATTTGATTAAACAAAACCTGTGAATCATGGGTGCCTCATGAATTATAAATACCACCCCCATTATGGTAACTATTGTTTCCCTTTCTTTCAATGGAGTTGGCAGGAATCCCAATGTAACTGCCAGAGAGCAGCTTCTCTTGTTACAGTTCCTTCTTTCTGTTTTCACCTTCTTTCTTACTGTCATCTAGCTCTTAAGAAACTAACTAAAATTAATCCTAGTCACATGGAGACTTGGTATTTCGCTAGTTTCTCTGCTGCTTTCTCACCTTTTGGCTATTCTAGACTATATGAACCCCCCATTATATCTCACCTCCTCTTTCTCGGAGCCTCTTTCTCTTTAGTTTGACCTGCTTCTTTCAATATTCGATTCAACCTCTTGTCTCTGGCTGAGATGAGCAAGTAAGGATGAGGAAGGTCACATTAGAAACTAAGGCGCTATGAGCAAGAAGAAAAACAAAATGTAGCCAGCACAGAAGAGACTGGCAGTGAGAATAGAGTATAATGTCTGTGTCTGCTCAGGGAGAGAAACGTTACTGGTAGGAGGGCACAAGAGGCTCAGGAGGGAGGTAAAGTTTTTGGAGAAGTGAGAGGGCATGAGGTACTGTTATCATAAACAATGCAGGAAATAACTCCTATAATTAGGATTGCCCGACAGTTTTAATTTTAAGGCCATGTTTTCAATTGCTTATAACTTGCCAAACATTAATAATTTGGGTTGAAAGTTTCCTATTAAGTGCTCGCCTTAGGCTGATTTTTTTTTTAATTCTATATTTGTATAGTAACAAATATACAGATAATAATTTTCATTGAAAAGCTTTGCCTTCATGCTTTGAAGCAGGAGTGTTACCCTTGTATTAACGATTTGCCTTTTGCTATCCTTCTGAAAATCCATCCAAGTTAGGCTAAATTAGGATCCTCTGAAAATCTGCTTGCACATATTCAGTAGAGGCTTGATGGTGTTTGGCAGCTTAATTATCTGAAAATTCCATCTGGGCATGCTCTAGCTGGAAGCTGCAGGGATAGACCGTGATTTCCCATGTAATTGATCTTCAGAGCTATAAGGGAGTGGAACAGAAACTTGAGGCTTGTATTCTGTCAGTACTCTGGCTGCTGGCATGTGAGGAGGAGGAGGAGGAAGATTTCTGGATAAAATGCAAAGGAATTAAAACCTATATCTTGAAGGATGGTGGGGAAGACTGAGTGTAGGGGAGTGGAGAGGTTGAGCGAGAAGGAGAAGGAGTTTGGTGGGTGGAGGGAAGACTGACTGAATGGTACAAGGAACCAGGGGTAGGGTGAAGAACAGCTTGGAGTGAAGAAAGTCAGACTTGCCAGGGGAGAATGAGAATGGGACTGAAAGGTCTGAATCCAATAGATCTGTGGTGTCCAACCAGTTCTGGAGAAGCAACCACTATAGTGAACTAGCAACACTCAACTGGCCAAATAAGCCACATTGTTCATGCCAAATAGCCATATATAGCTAGTATGTTGGACACAATGGCACTAGACTTCACTCTTCTTTGAACCAGAAATACAACCCACAGTTCTAGCATTTCAGTATTCTTTTGCTATCAGGAAAGATCTGTGAAATTCTGTCTAGCAACATATTTGCTTTATCACCTCCTTATGACTAATCCGCATACTGGAGGAGAACCTATTTACTCTGTTATCTCAAATGGCAGAGGTGTGTGCTGTGGATCTAAGGGCTTATTTCTATTACTGGGAGATACTACTAATGCTGCTGCAAATGATCCACTGGGAGGTCAGTTTGGCAGATCTAGCAAGGACCTGCTAAATCAGTGGCAGATCACTTTGTCAACTCTGGTATTCTACCGGAATGAGAAGTATAAGGTTAGTGGATGGGAGAAATTCTCCTGTCAACCCAGCACAGTGCAGACACTGCTGTAGGTCGACCTAAAATATGTTGACTCCATCTATATTATTCATGTAGCTGGAATTTTTAACTTAGGTTAACTTAATCCTAGTGTAGTACAGACCTGCCCTCAGAATTCCAGACCTAGCGGCGAACAATGTGAGTAGCAGTGTTATCTCACATGCTGGAATTTTGTTTTCTTTAGTTTGTATTTTTTTAAACAGGAAATTGCATACAAAAGGAATGTTAAAGTTGTAAAGTCAAGCATTCAGAAGTTTGGATTTAAGAGAATTAAGGCCCATGCAACTTTAAGTTTCAGAGGGGTAGCCATGTTAGTCTGTAACTGGAAAAACTTAAACAACAAATAGTATTGCAGCACCTTAGAGATAAAAAAAAAATTAGATGGTATCACAAGTCTTCGTGGGCACAACCACAAATGCACTACTTGGGTTATTATAATGCAGTCTTTAATTACATTTTTCCCACAGGA